GAAACTAATAGTTTACACATTGTTGCTAATAAGTCTTCTCTAATCTTTCTAGTTTCTGAGTATCCATGATTACATGCTTGAGAACTTCACCTTGTTTTTTTTATCTCATGGCCTTCGCATGTAGTTTTTTTCGATTTTTTTAAATGAGGTTGCAACATCTAGTGGGTGATTCATCAGTGCAAATTGTATATCAAACAAATTTTATTATGTGGATGATTCATCAGCTTAACTTTTCCTCTAATATCATTTTGTTAAGTAAACGTGCTAAAAACTAAACCATAATTTGAAAATCTTAATTTTGTAATTTCTAGTTATTATACAATTAAATTTGTCCATATGAAAATAATGTGTAATCTTTTCTATAACATATTATTTTTTATGTGGTCCTCTAATTTTTCAATTATGTAAACTCGATGTGATGGTTTGTTCTGTTGGTTTAGAAGTTAGAACAGAGAGGTAGATGTATTGTTCAGGTACAAGAACCTTTGGCCTGTCTTGAGTTCTTGAGATCAATGTGAAGCCTCGAGTTTCCCACATGTTCGGTTTCTCGCAGGAGGGAGTGGTCAAAGCCTTTGAAAACCAGTGCTCGTGGAGGTGACGACGCTATTAAGATGATTCAAGAATCTGCTGTTAATACATATCATTGTGCAAATTCTCCTTGCACACTCAGTCTGACTCTAGTCTAGATTGAGTAATCTCTTAATGATAAAACTCTTATTATTCTGTAAGATGACCACAGTTTCTATGCCATAATTACAAGACAAGAATGTTCAATTTGGACCAAAGAGGAACAAACGTTCTTATACCTCAGAACTGCAACCAACATGGTAAAGATCCATATGCCTGTCTGGAACTAATCAAAAACTGTTGCTCGGTCATGATACAATGAGCAGAGGCCGTCTGCGTAACAATTATCTCAAGCTGCAAAGACCAAATGGAGCCAGAGACAGATGCCTTGATACTACTAAAGATCTCAGCAGATCGAAGTACAATAAACAAAAGAACTCTTTGACTCTTGGAGAAGAAAAGATTCTTACAATGGCGAGAACTAGGGCTCTATTTTGTTAAAGACTAAATGGCAGTTGGTTCCGAACACCACTTCCATACTTTAACTTGACCACTTCCGTCACCAGTGAAAAATATGCCCCCCGGACCTATCTGGATAGACCGTATCTCTTGCTTTGCTAGAATTTTGCCCCTTTCAGTAAACCTTCGATCAAAACGAAGAACTAAGCTTTTGAAAGAAAAAAAAATTTGTAGGCTCGTGAAACAAACATCAATGGAAGAACTTACGATGGCAGATCATAGAGGTGTAACGAATTGTTATTGCACGAGCATAGCAATACTGGCTTGGCTTCTGCATCATGCACGCCACAGAGAGCTAGCACACCCTGAATCCAATTAGCCATTGAGAATTCGTTAGGTACATTACAGAACCAAAAGAGAGAGTGTAATTTGACCAAAAACACAAGAAACTGTACGTAATCTTCTTTGTGAGTATACGTCACTTCCAAGTTTCCACCTTCAGTGGCAGCCCATATCTACAGGGAGGATAAAAACCAACCAGGGTTTGTTATGAAGTTAATGGATCCAGGTACAAAAACTTCCATAGAGTTAAACGCGAACCTTGACCGTATTGTCTAATGAACATGATAGAAGAAACTGATCCCAGCAAATCAGAGACATGACAACTGAAGTATGTTCTGTAAGCGTTTGTAAACACTGCATATTATCCAGGCTCCAAACCTATTAAAATCAGATAAGCAGACCTATTAGCT